GAGACGTTGCGCCAATTAACTACAAACCGTGTTAACAGAATTTATTGACTGTTTTTTAGTGCAGATACCCAGAAGAAGTCTATTTTATCTATGTAACCTAGATATAACGAGTTCCGCAGATCATAACACGGGTTTGTTTTCGTGAATATGTGTTAATCTAGCTTCTGTAACTGCGCATGTGCTGAGCGGATATGGCAAACGCGGTCAGAACTCACCATTTAATGAGGAAGTGAAAGCCCTTTTAACGGATATTTCCTTTGTTATTTACATCGTAATATATAATCCAACGCTGATTTGAGCCAATTTTGGGCAAAACGTAGTTTCTGCCCGAGATGAATTTCCTTGCATCACCGTTGAATTTTAGTGACGTATATTGAAAATAAAAGTCAAAAAGTAATCATGAAGAGAGCTGATGCCTGCCAATAATGGGCGCCCGCACAGCGCAAACCAAGAATGAGCAATCTTTACAGTATATGACGAATGAATTTAAAATTCTAAAACTCTCTAATATTGGGTGAGGGATCAATGGTAGGAATGGTAACAAAATGTGCAAGTTCGTTGTTTTTCAAAGTTTCCTTCGATTTGAAGGAAATATAAAGATGGCAAATATTATTAACTCGATACATCTAGTTACTTTGAAGAAAGTGTCCCACACGCATGGTGAGCTAAATTTTTGGCGTGATGTATGGTTTCTACTTGGGATTTCATTGTATATTGCATTCTTCTTAACTTAACTGCCAAGTTATCTGTTGGAGGACTTAAATGCAATATTTGATCTACTTCAATTAGAAGTTGTTGCCGAAGATAATTTCCAATTTGTTCACAGCTTGCACAATTTGCATATAATATATACTTATCTTCTCAGGTTCATATAAAGAGTTAAAGTTTCATTTTTGAAGAAATCGTATTGGCAGCAAATTAAAGCTATCCGTTTATAACTAAGTGAAATAATAAAAATATATGGTCAGAAATTAAAGATATTTCTAGTGGAGATCGACACTTTACAATGCTGTCCCTTCGTGAGTCAGCAAAAGTGTATATTACCAAGGTCACGAACATAAAGAAGTTGACTTCTCTACCGCACGACACGCTACGATAAATAAAACAATTTGAAAATTGGACTAGATCGTGATTGCCAAAATATCTGTTCCTCGTGGAGGGGCTTCGTATCACTCCTTATAAGAAACATTGCAAAAAAAAAAAAAAAAAATTAAACAAAGGTACATCTTCATGGACCGTACGTCATAAACAATGAACGTGTCTAAAGAGTTCGTGAGGACGGTCCGCATTGAATAAAGTTCGCATTGTAATGAAAATAAGGCAGAGATATTTTTTTATCACAATCCTTAACATCAAGCTGAAAAAAAGGAAAAACTTTCTCGTGATTCTAAAAGTGGACGTTTGAGAGAGCGGAAGCATTAAACATTACACGACCCCTAGGGGAGTGTTTCAAAAGCTGTTTCGAATTTTCCCAAACTTTCAGCATCTCGGCATCTTTTTAGAAACGACTTTCAAACTTGCTTCTATCTCCTTGTTTCTAGGAAAACATTGCTCTTGGTCTGGAAATAAGTAACATTTACAGTTACATGAATAGTTCACAGCACGGCAACGGAATAAACAGACCGCCTACATAATACAACTATGTGAAAAGAGCTCCAGATTTAAAGTAGTGTCCTATACAAGCTAAAGGGAGATTTAAGTATTTTTCTTAAATGGCTTATGAAACGGTCGTTGTGTTTTGGGTGATTTGGAACAAAACTGTGGCTATCAAACATTTTGTCGTTTCAGCCAGCCTTAATAATGTAAAGTTCTACTAAAATTAATAACCTTCACCCGAGCAGTTACCATTTTTCCTTTTATGTATTTGTCTATTGGTTGTCTTCATGACAATGTTAATTTTAATTTTGTTTAGAAAAGCGTCCTGAGGCAGCAAGATCCTTTTGATAATTACAAGGCAAATGAATTCTATCTCACTTGGACTGGCAACTTTGACGTCGAAAACAACAGTAAAAACATCATGGAAAAGTGGAAAAAATATATCTTCAGCTGTTATTTACAAATGATGTTAAATATTGGACTTTGAAAATACAAAATTCTTCAGTGTCACAGATCAGCCCACGCCCTTTAAAGTCTCACCTCTGCATTTGCCTTGAAAAACATCATTATTCAGTGAAACACAATGCTATTTCTTCAGCCCAGTTGGAAAACTTCGCGTTGGATATCACGTTAGGCCGATATTTTGATTACGACTCAAAAACGATTCAAAAAGAGTCAGTTGACGAGATCAGTACGTTATATTAACACATAAAATAATTTCAATGCTTGTTAAATTGATAACGAAACAAGAATCTATTGCTCTAAAAGTCCTCTCCTCAGAACAAACAGATTTTTTGAAGTGCTAAAGAGGAAGCCAGTATTGGTGCGGTAGACGGACGTAGTCGTGTCCGTGACTTTCGCCAAGGTCAATTGACATTCTCTTGTGTGACACATGTACTACATCAAATGCGAGCAAAAGTGAGTTTCCCTTGTTTATTGTTTACCCCGATCGCTAAAAGAATGAGATTCCAATTTGCTAAGAATTTTCACGCACATTTTTTCTTTAAAATCTTGGGATAACATGATATTACTTTTGCTCTTCTTGAAACGGAGTTTCTATCATGTCAAATTCGAGTCTTCTCCGGACAAGTGAATATGCCCAGAGATAAATTAAGGTAAACATAAAAAATGATAATTACGGTTTTAATTTTTAAACCAGCATAAGCATCTCTTTAGACTAAGATTTATTACATGTCACATCTTCCTACTGTAATAAACATCTCCCCGGCTAAGGCCAGTTTCCGGCCATTTCCTCAATCCTGGTTCAAAGAAAACTTGAAGAGTTATGCCATGAATATGCACGCGTTCTATCCCTTTTCTGTAAACAAGACTTGCAAGAATGTGCAATTGATCTGTTTCATTAATACATAGAGGATATTACGCGGTGACGAGAAGATATGAATTTCATATTCTTGCCACGAGAACATCAAATTCATATCTTCCAGCTAACGTGTAATGTTCTTTGTATTATATAGACATACTGAAGACGGCGTTTTTGACGATTTTCCGAAGATTTCCGACCACTTTCCGAAGTTTTCCGAAGAGTCTCCAAACTTGTCCGAAGGTCACACGAACTTTGCCCAAAATTTTCCGAAAATTTCCAAAAATTGCTGAAGATTACCGAAGATTGCCGAAGACTTTCGAGGAAGACACGAAGATGTTTCGATGATACACCAACAAATTTAAGAACAATTTAAGAGACAAAATTGATATCAGTGAAATCATCGATGTCTTTACTAGTGAGGATATGAAAAATACGCCACTCGAGTCCCGGATGTGGTTTCGTATGAATTTTATGAATGGCGCATTTTCCAGTAAAACACTTGTGTCTATATAATAAAATATTTGTTTCGAAAGTCCACAAACTTGAAGCCAACTTATGCTGGTGTTTTAGACAGTGCTCTGACGGTCTACTAAGCACGTTCTGTTTTTAATGCGTGCGCCGAGTTAATACTCGTAGAAGGTGGCCACGAAGTCGGAGAATTTAGAGTTATGGTTCAGAGAACAGCGACGCTCACACAGTTCATACAGCACATTATTTATCGTTACTTATCGCTTAACCGAGGGTGACGGCAACAAAATCACTGTCCATGCATGGCAAACCAAAAGAGTTGATTCTAGCCTCACGGATAATCATCGATTATTTTTAATTTTCAAATCACTTTTCACCAGGGCAAAAATCATACTTTTAAAAATTAAAGCTGACCGAAATGTTCTTTGTCAAGCAACTGAGTATTCGGAGCACACAAACTTTAACTGTTTCAGCGATACAAAGTACTAGTTATACTGGAAATAAGTTACAAACAGAACAATGTGAAAAGCTTTTATTTGCTGACATTTCTGCAAGAGAAACAACTTAATTTAAGTGCCACCTACTTCACCGACTGGCTTACAAAACTAGCTGCTTAAAAAAGAATGAATTTTAAACAGCTTCAAAAACATATTCAGTGAGACCTTCCGTAAGAGATCGACGATAATGGTTTTATTTGAGATTTTGACAACTTGGAAGGAGCCATTATAAGAATTAAGAATGATTAACGACTATCAGGAAGGAAATGAATTAAAATTCTTGTCGAGGATCTTTCAAGTTTAAGCAGCATTTCTTTGAAATTTCTTGTGATATGTAATCCTTTGTAAAGATAGCTTCCTAGATTATATTATTACAGTGCATCATTTTTTTAACAGCTTGAGCAAAAATGCCTTCATCTCTGACAGACTGAGAAAAATACCATTATCAATAAACATTGAAATGGCAAATATCTGTTTCCTTCGCGAGTTAAAAGCAAGTAATTTGAATTCTATTTTCGGCTATTAACTTTAAAACAACAAATTACAATATCTCCTTCCTTCTGCCAAGATTAAATCTTTCCTGAAGAAGCTTAATTCTGGGCTCAGTTTAGTCGTTTAATACGCGTTTATTTCACTATATGAGTATTTGGAATAAGTCTCACTTATAATTTCGTTTTACATTTGGTGCTCAGTTGTGACGATGTTCACCCAGAAACGACATAGAAACTGAAAATAAAATGATTTCCAATTGGCTATAATCTGAACTCAACTGGAGGGCATTTTGCTTTCAGACCTCCTAATTATCCAAGGCAGATTCTAAAGGTCCGACGAAAAGGGAAGATATGATTTAACATACCATTGTGAACGGAAAAAGACCACCTGCAATCCCACTATTAGTTCTACAGAACAATAAGTCTGGTAATAGAGAATCAGCTTATCTTGATCAACCAGCACTTCAGGGAGTTATCCCTTGGTATCGTCCGCATATACCGGAAGACGTGCATTACGGAATATATATGCCCGATTTCTTGGTGGGAAGTTTTAATCATGATAATGACTCTTTCAACCTCTTTAAGGAAATATTCCTCGTTTCCCGAGTCAATAACAAAAAGGACTCTGAGAAATGACAATATTTTAATCAGACAATCATCCACTTTTTACTGAACAGACGAATTTGGGGGTAGCTGTCAACCATTATCTATTTATTACTTACACGCCTTATTTTCATAGCATAGCAACAACGTAGCTGTAGACAGACTCCTCTTGTTCAAATTTATGTCTCACGTACTCTTCAAATTCTATTCAACAAAGACAATTGGAAACCCCAAAGCGGAAAATCACGATTTTCAGAAAAGCTGTGTATTTGTCTCTTCTTACTCGTTCAAACTGGTGTTTTCTTTTTTAGGGTTGCACCAGGCAACCATAAATATATAAATTTGATTGCTTTGCTCTTACGTATGCTTTATCGCTTTGTTATCAGGCTTATCAGTATGCTTCCCTGCTGGCAAATGACCACAAAAAATTGAAAAGGGATAATTTAAATTCAATAAAATTAATCATTTTTCTACTTTTTAGCAATTTACGCAACACTATAGCATCAAGTTACTGAAAACTGTTGCCCCATTTCCTCGACGGCTAGTCTTGCGTTTACTCCAAATTTCAGCTAATAGGTTTCGTGATGTTTGCGCTTGTAAACAAAACTGAAAATGTTCAGATAACGTATTAAATTAAGAAAACGAGAGGTGAAACAATAGAAGTGGTTATAATAAGCACGTAGATATTACTACTATTAAGAGTGCGGTAAAAGTTCGCATCGCTTTCAAGGTCAGTGATATATCCCACTTTTCTTTGTCTTGTTACACTTCCTCCTATAATTCAACCTTTTAATTTCGCCAACCTCGACACATGAACGCAAAATTGGCCATTATGTCTAAAAGTTGGCAGCGTTTCACGTGTTTGCATGTCAATGAAATTAGTTTTTGCGAAAAGATTGAGTTATGAATACTGAGCAGCTGCTGACATCAATAAGTTTTAAAATAATCATGGAGGTTTTAAAATGTCTTCAATTCGTTAATTATAAACAATCCAGCCCTCTGCATTTTATTTTGACGCAGCGAACATAATTCAAACTGACTGCTTTGGGAATTTTGTAAACTTCTAAACTAGCCCCATCTTATTAATTTTACTGTGTTTGGCAGCACATCGCTCAATGTCTTTGTTGTCGAATTGCAAAGAAGTTTAAGTCAACAAATTTGATGTCTTTATTTCACGCGCCACTTCCATTGTTGGTTGTTCTTTTGTATCTTAATGACTGCCTATCGTCTCGCTTACCCTGGTAGCTCTTCCCTTACAAAAGCAGGCTTTCGACCGTTTGGTAGTGGATTTATAACACGTGCAAGCATCCTCATTTAGTCTGCGTTTAATCGACACTAAAAGCAATTCGTTTAACACAGGCAGCGGGTTACCAACTTATCGCCTGAACTAATCTTAGCACTCAAATGTGTACTCCACTGGTTTTAAAAAATATCTTGGCACAGGCAAATGTTTTCCATTAACCTAAAATTTCCTGTTTCACTAACGATAAGCAAGTAGTTCAATGCCAAATTGCGGTTGTTATTTATTCATGGCTTCCATTGAGGGCAAAACGGTCCAATATCCGCCTCGCGTGAACACTTGAATTGTTATAACACGAGCAAACAAACTTTTAACTTTGCACTGCCGCCGCATAACCTCGTCTCGTTGCTTCAGCACTGCAGGCTTGCAGACTGTTAGGTTGATGCCGTGAGCTTGGATCTTGCCCAAGTGAATAATGATACCATTAAAATTTTGTCTTAAACATCACTTTTACCATGAATATTTAATTGTCTTTGTTCATTGCATGAGATTGCCTGATAGACAAATTTCCCTGTTTTTCACAATTCCATTTTCGAGTTTTCCATCCAAGATTTACAATTTGTGTCGGCACCCATATATTTTTTCTTTATTTATTTAGCTCCCCCTGTATAAATTTGTTCGTATATTCCAACCAATGCGTCAGTTCTGACTAAACACTACCGTGACCCACTCCGGTACCAGTGACTTTCTTACAGCTAAGGTTCACCTGTTTAAAATGCCATGCGGTTTCGAAAAGTAAATCGCTTTTAAATGTGAATTCAGTGATGTTAATATAATGTGACAAAGACGCGTGAAAATTGGGCTCACGTTTGCCAAACCGAACGGAAATTCAGCCTTAAACCATTTCTCGTCTGAGGTAGCCCCTTCACTGGGTCCAAAACTCAATAAACTGTATTATTTGTTTTAATCGGGAAATTATAAGAGTGCCGTTATCCTAAGATATATTGTCGCTCAACCTTCGCTCACTCTTTAGCTAGCCTGATAAAGGCTTTTTTCTCTTTTATCTGAAGATAAAAACATTAATGAGCGAAAAGCTCTCCGGCCTTTTCACAAATTCCTGATAACGATTACGAATCAGTACTACGCTCTTTGTCATGGAAAATCCATAACTCCTTTGTGAATAGTGCCTCAACACCATTTTCTCACCTTTCGAAAGCCCAATAAAAGGAATAATTAAGTTTTACTGGGGGGTGAAGTAATTCATTAACACTTTCGAGGCGTCGAGATCGTTCATCAAGTAGCTTCCTTTTAAGTGAGCAGCCAGAAACCTTTCCTCGACAGCCATGACATTTTCTCGCGCTCCGGCTTTCATTGAATATGATTAATTTATATTGAGAAATGATATCTTTTGAGAAAAAACAAAGCTATGAACGACCGTGATACTTGTTTTAAATTGGCAGCGTTTGAAAGGCAGGGCACTCTGTTGTGGCGTGTAATTTACAAACTCTTTCTTTTATTGTAAATATTTGACTACAGTTTAAGACATATTTTACAATTTGGACCAAAAACTCTAAATTCACTAATCGTTTTTCTTTTTATCCTCGTGAGTTTGGCATAATCAATCATACAAGCATCTTCAGTTGAAAGCTGTCTTTCGTTAATGGTTCCTCTTCATCTCTTGTTTCACCTCGTAATTACACTGGAAGTTTTGGGAATACGACGAATTCGAACAAATTTATGAAAATCGGGTTTCACTTTGCAAAATTTCATCCCCACACAGATGATCGAAAATAAAATATAGAGGTCGCTCGATCGTAACTTAGGGTTAAATATTACGTGCAGCATATAAAGTGGTTCATCTCTTAGCCCTAATCGATTTCAGTGTTGTATAAATAGGTGTAAATAACAACTGTAAACACTGCAGAGTCCTTTACAACCTAAATCAACCATCCCAGCTTGTGAGTATGTAAAGACGTACTACTAAAGTAGGCAAGGAATGGGAAATACTAATGCTCAAAATTTCCTTACCAAACGTCGGCTATCATCACGCCACTGTCACATTTTGGTCACTGAACACATTCCCGTTAGATATCCTAGAGTTACGACTGATATTACTTTCAGGTATCAAAACAAGTGATTCCCGTTAGATATTTGACTTGTCTAGATTTTGAGGTAAAATGTTTTGAGCTCTAAAATGTTAGCACGAGGCTTTTTTAAGTCCACGGTTGAGTGTTTATTTGGCTGTGGAAAGCGAGTAGTCACGACTACGTCATTGTTCTTCTCTCCAGCAACTCGTTGTTATAACAGGGACGACATCGGCGGCGCTCTTAGATGAGGAGGCAAAAATTGCGAGTAGTGTTGTGGGTACTGCATTCCGGGGTACGATGGATGATAAAACGAATAAGGAGCATGAGGGGTTATTTCGCTAGGACGGCTCTGTTCTCTGTACAGAATTGGAACCCGTACCATTCTCTGGTGACTAGCCTGAGCTAAGCTGGCGGCCTCCATCTCGGCAGCCAGTTGTCTTTTCCACTTGTTCCGTCGGTTTTGGAACCAAATCTTAACTTGTGTCTCTGTCAGGTGAAGTTGCGCTGCCAAACCGGCGCGTTCGGACGAGGAGAGATACCTCTTCATGTCGAAAGTAGACTCCAGTTGATAGACCTGACTTCGAGAGAACACCGTTCTTGTTTTCTTCTTCCTTCGTTTCTTGTTGACATCTTTCCTGTCGCCCTCCGGCGATTGATCGTCTTTTTCTATGGAGTCTGTGAGAGACAAGTGTTAAATATTTTAGACGGTGGATAGAAAATTTGGCCCATCTTGGTTTGAGCACAACAGCGCGACTCCTTTTGCTTTATATTATACCATTTACAACTCAGTAACCGGAAGCGCACATGTTGTGAGGTACTAACCTTCAACAGACGTTCTACTCCAGTCTTCAAAGTCATATTCTACTCTTCTGTCGAGCTCTAAGGGGCTTGCATCAGGCCGGTAGATTTCGCAACCTTGTTTTCTTGTAAATTCTGAGCGCTGTCTATCTATAGTTCCTCCCGCGTCACTTGTGTTATCCGTGTCTTTCCTGCTAGTCTCTCTTGAGCTGCCGTTGTTGAGGATATTGGAAATCGAGAAGGGGTTCGATCTCGCTTTCTCCTCCATGCCTAGCTGCGCGTAAAGAGGTCTCAGCGAATCTTATTTGAGACTGAAGTTGTAGTAATTTCTGTAGCTTAAGAAATGGCAAACAAAGATCGTTTGTGTCGGGCTGAATGCATTGGGGCATGCGAGGCGACAATTTAAGTCAGTGATAATGATCGGGAATAAAAACGTCAAACTTGTTAAACGGCTGACATGTAAATGCGCGTCTGTGATTGGTTAGAGGTGAGGACTAATGGAACCACGAGAAAGCACGAATAATCACCTCCTCCCCCTCCTATACAAAAACCCAGGAAAACTGATAAGCGTTGTTTGTGATTGGCTTTTGGCCGCTATCAATTAGTTCAAGACACGTTGTCATTCTAAAAGCGTTCATGTTTTGTCTTTTTCAATTGGCTGAGGGATAACAATTCGTCAATTACCTCCTTGGTGTCGAACTACAATCATGAAAAGCTTTTCTTTTAAAGGTATTCTTAGTTAAAGTGGACCATTTGTTGCTCCATGTCATAAACGCAGCGTTTAGTCGTGCGGTTAAGGATTTGATTGGCTTCACGCCTACTGAAAACAAACATTCAGTCATCACGCCCCAGAGCAGTGTATCAGACTTCCTCCAAAACTCAAAACGCAAACAACGCTACAAGATGCTTTTTTTAGAAAGCTTCAAGAGTCCATCAGCGAATTCTGGCTCGTGTTAAATAATGCCGCAACGTGCGGCTTGGCAGTTTAAATTTACATAACGCGTTCTGTTGAAAAGATGCGAGCGATAAGGCATAAAATAATTAAGAGCATCAGGGAGCTTTTAACGAGAGTTTCAGGCGATAAGAGTGAAAGGAGGTGATAAAGAGCGTCGAGAAAAGAATCTTATGAAGGACTGCTAATGGTTTTCTGCCATTTGAGGTTGTTTCCACTCAAACGATTTTGATGACTGGATGATTGGCCTAAGTGAACACAGCTGGAAAATTTCATGAGATGCTAATGAAGTGAAACGCAATTGGTGATTGTATTTTGGAGCAACTTGTTTCGCCTAAGAGATATTAAGTCTTTATTTCTTGACAGAAGAAGTGACATGATTGATGAATTGAAGATTGAAGATCTCAAACAGCAATTCAAAGCTGACGCTGATCAATGCTCCAACCTGCCAAACTTAAAATAGAAAAAATATGAGCGATTTCAACAGAGGCTAAGGAAATTCATTTCTCAACGATAGTTCGAAGTCGTTTGCACCGTTTTACAGCCTGTAGTTAATCCCTTTCTTTAACCCTTGAACGTGGAAATTCAATGGCTTTCAATAGCGAAAGGAATAAATGACAATCCCTTTAACAGTATTTGAGTAATAAAAACCCGATCCGCGCTTGAGAAGATCCAATATTATTATGTAATTCTTTCCTTTTCATAGATAAATGAAAGGGTAAACAATGGAAAATAATCTTAAGACCATTTAGGTCGAGTCTTAGAGTGGCTATCGCTCGATGATATTTATAGTCACATAAGGCTGTATTAAAAATGTACTTTCTTAAAAGGAGGATAATCTCACGCCATGCTTAGTGAAATACTTCGAAATCGACTTCGCTTTTGTTTCAAAATCTATCAACGCGCAATCAGCTAACACTTAGCAGGCCATTCGCGAATTTTCCGTCATTTATAACATTTCGTGACACCAAAGAAGAAAGGAAATTGATTTAAAACGAAAATACACCTTGAAGGTTTCATCAGACAAATGAATAAAATTTCCGAGGACTTGGATAGAAAGTGACATTTCATAATTTGCAAATTTGTTTGGATATTCATTCAAAGCTTCTGCCTCCTAAATCCGAAACCATTAGACATGAATCGACTTAAACTTCAAAAACAATTCCTTTCAAAAAGCTCGCAAATTGACATTGTACAAGCATTTGCGCTAGCAACATGTATTCAGTCGCGTCTAAGGCCGCGAGAATGCCAATAAAAACTTCTGCCCAGAGGACGTCTTGTTACCGAATAAATATTTCCTTGTCTCATCTCAGTCAATTTGGACTATCGAGAAATATATTTACAAAAGGAGGGGCTAAAATGAATATCAACAAATACATCAGTTAATAGGTTTTTAGTGGTCTGAACAAGGTGCTGTAAACGGTTGGTTTTACGGTCAGTTTACGGTCAGTTTACGACTCTTTTGTGGGCTTTTACAGCAATCAGATTAATTGCAAATGACGTTTGACTATGCCTTTCAGTGATGAAAGTTTGTTCCTTTTACCCACTTTAAAAGAAGAGCTGGACAGAAATGGCGGTTTTTATGTTTCTTATTAAAGTCAGGATCTCGCCAAATGCTTTAGACATACCAATCTTTGGACAAGATCTACGAACTTTTAGCGAAATTTATAATGCCAGTCTTGTTAAGAATTTTGAACGGAAATGAATTGAAGTTGTGTCTTCGCTTTAAGTTTTTTAAATTGAAAATAAAAGTGGTTTTAGCTTTGCTGGCGTTCATATCACAGCAAGTGACAGATTTTAATTCGTGTCTGTAGAGAAATCTCCTTATTTTGATAGAAGAGATTTGAACGAGAGGAAGACATAACTTGTTATTTCGCATACTCGACGTGGTGACACATGCAAATGTCTGGACGTTATGATTAATGGCTTGCTCGACACATTTTTATCATTTCGAATAATTTTATTGCAAATCAGCCGTCATTACCGACAGAGCCCAGGCGCCAACTTTCTATAGCACACAAAAGATAACAACATTGGTTTTATCGCCTGGCGTTTAAAACTCCTATCCTTTAATATTGCCTTGCGCTCCACCCCAAATATAACTAAACACAAAATAAATCGCCTGGTTTTTTTGGCAAGCTGGGACAAAGCCTACATCCACTGAGCAATCTATATTTTGATTCTTGGCGTTTTACCGAACAAACACTTTGAGCAAAGTGTCGCCCTTTTGTGCTTGATGCCTATAGCTCAGCCGGCCTCAGCGTGCCACATAAAAACGTGTTATTTCTTAGCTACGGAAGCAATTGTTCGCTTCAACTCTTTTGCAATTGACTAAACTCTTCAATTAATAGCAATTTACAGCAAGTGTATTCTTAATCCTGGGGATTTCGAATGGCCCAATAGCCGAACGTGCACTCATAAAACTATAGTGTGCCATATTTCATCCATTTTACAATAAGCCAAGGCGATACATAAATTTCAGTCAAGTCAAAACCTGAGCATGGCCTTGTCTTGCCTGGAGGGCTTGTTTTGACAAGTATTGTTGAAAACCTTTCACGATATTAATATTTTAAAAGAGGTGATTTGTAAAGTGGTGAAAGTTGGTGGCCCTTTCAGCTGCTGTCCTCACGCAATCACAGAAGGAAAAAGAAATGAAGAGACAGAGGACAAAATCAAAGTGAAAAGTCAGGTTTCGTTTGTTTATAGTTGCTCTAAATTGGACAACAAAGGCAAGTATTCAAATTATCTAACATACACAGTCAAATTTCGTCAACATTCAAGCTTAAAATGGAAAGCAATTAACACTCAGCAGGCTTTATTTCGATCGTTTTGTCCTCGTCTTTGTTTGGTAGGTCTTTGTTTGGAGTTGAGAAAGGCCCCCGAGGCAAACCATGAATATGTGATGACATGAGGCAAATCGAACGTAGAGTCAAAACAAGGCATATATTGGCCCTTCCATATGAAAGAGAAAGCATTTTAATGCTTGATGATATTCTTGCGGGTTTTTCTACTTGGAATCCTAGCGTTTATTGTTATTGAGGGTTTTTGTTTACAGTACTCTTTCACCGAGTAATACTTTTAGTGAATATACGATTAAGATTCCATTAAGAACGTTAGACGAACAATGTCAAGGCAATTAGGAGTTTCGTTTATATGTTTCCTAGCGCCATTAGGCAGCTAACGGCTCATCACGTAGTGTTTTTATTAATCCGTGTCTCATATATTCCCAATCTAAATCTTCTGACGATGGCTCGCAATTCCATGTTGGTACTAGAAACGAACCATGGTTAACCCCCACTCATATCGAAAGTTAAAAGCAATTTTCTACTTCTTCGTCTCGACCGCTGTCTGCTCCAGTCGCTTTAAGGTTCAGTAGTATGAATTTTTATAGCACTTAGAGACTTAAAGAAAGGATTTCAATAAACACATAACAGGATGCAGACCACTTTGTTAGCTCCTCCCATCCAATGCGAATCAAAAGCCAACATCGCTTAAGAGAAATTAATCGCCGTGGTGAATGGGTGACCAAAGAGGCGACAAAAGATCTAAACACGTCTAAGGCAACTCAAGTGCTATTCTTATGCTTAGAAGGCCTTAAACAAAAGAACTAAAGTTGAGGTGCCCAGAGCAATGATACAAACAAACTTTTTAAACTGCGCGCTTGAGCCCGAGAAGAAATTAAATAAATACCAATTCTGTTACGTTTTGGTAAGCAGTCCTTAGTGAAATATTAATTGAAATATGACCAAAACCTCTAACATTCTTTGCAGAGCGTTTGCTAAGGTTGGTGATGTATAAATTAAGGTGAAAATTTGCCCAGTCCAGCGCTAACTCTCTCCGTGATGCATTTCTTCTAAAGCTATTTCTGAGAATATTGGCTAGAGTAGTATAATATCCAATAGTTGATGATATATGTGTTCTCATGGCTCTACTTGAAAATAGCGTTCGGAGAAATGAAATTTTGATCGCCCTTCCCAGTCATCCTTTGCCACTGCAAAACCGGTTTTGCTATGTCATGTTTGTTTTGGTCGATTTAACGATCAATTGCTGACAAAGAGGCTGGTATTGTAAGGTCGCTTTCATTTCTTGCTTTCATCGATGCTAATGACGCAGCATGAATTTATGCCTTTTTTCTCATCAACAGTCAATAATTGACTTTTCCTTTTCAAGATGCCAAATTGTATTTGTAAGGTTTCATAATTTACAATGTTGAATCGTTCAAAAGTTCACTTAATACGATTGGAGGTGGCATATGTTCATTTAAAAATATAGTTCTTAACGCGAAAATGAACAGATTGTATATAATCAGAAAAGCCTTCACTGGATTTCCTGACTGCAACTGAACTCTGATTGCACTTGATATGATCGCTGATTAGGTTCAACAAATGTATCTGTAACAGGAAACTGCTCAATCTCGACTATCAGTTGAGAAACTTTATTTATATCTCGGGTAGATTGCATTGAAGTAGCGATTTTATTTTATATTCAATTTCCAATGTCCGCTTTCAAATATATAGCCGAAATAGTGAATACATGGAATTACCTTCCGAAGATGAGGTAGCCACAAACGAGATAATTTTCCAAGCCTTAATAAAGTTTAAAATAGATACAACGAAGAGCCAGAGCAAAATCGGCACCTGATTATTCATGGTTGTGATAACCAAGTGGAGCGTTTGGAGAAAATACGGATTAAAAGAGATTTGGCAGTAACTGACAACGCCTGATAATTAGAAACTCTTTTCCACCGGTTTTGATATGATAACAACAAACAATAATTATTGAAGGTATGGGTCTATGCTTCGATCAGATAATATCTGAATGTAGTCATACATCTCAGTTTTTACATGAAAAAGGTTGACCCAACCGTTTTCATGTGCAACACCAATTATCACGATCTATCAAAATCGAGACTTATCTGTGACAGCCACACCTCACTCGATGTTTATTACCGTGTTCAACGGAACAAAGATTTTGCGAGCAAAATAAAGATTGTGACATCATATTTTTTTAAACAGAAGAGTCCCAGTGTTGTACTCCTGACGTTGATATCATTTGTTTAGCCTTGAGTCAGCGCCGAGTATGATCGGGTCCGCCTTGATCCAAAGTTCCTTTTTCATCAGTTGATGTCGCATGATATTTTGTTTTCAACTTTATGCACCGGCCGCATTATCATTTGTTTTATGTACGTGTACGGATTTATAACGCTAAAGAATGATTTTAGAAATAGGATATATGATCTGCACTGAAATTAAATTGTAGCTGACCGACAGAAGCAATCCGTTACCATAGTGACTGGTCGATTCTAATGGAAAATTTCAGCCTGTCCAACGTTATGTAACGTAACCAGGTTTTCTAACTGATTTCAGTTTTTGAAAAAAAAAATTAACAAGAGCATTCAAGAAAAACGTAAATGTTAACAACTTTCAAAAAGCTATTCACTTCTTTTAAGCTCTCTGTGAATATGTAAATTTTTAAATCTCTATTAATCTTGTACCGTTTTATTAATTTCATTTTGTTTCTTTTTTTTTCGCACATTTGTTTCGTACTTTTTACTTCATGGAAGTCCTCTCTGAAAATCACGTGTTTACGTGACGGGCGCTTCCTCATATAAGATTTTTATCATCATCATCATCATCATCATCATCATTATCATCATTATCATTATTATTATTATATTTATTATTTTTACTGATTGTTATTATTATTTTTACTGATTATTATTATTATTACTATAATCATAATAATTATAATTTCCTCAAATGTGATTGGTGCATAAACTGCTCTATTTTGCTCTAATTAATCGGACAGTTGGCTGTAATCGGACACCTGTAATCGGACAGTTACATAAGCCAATCATTTTAAGTCCTCTCCACTAAATCCACCAATCACAACATTGATTACAATCACTATAATAACCAATGCAAGAGACTGACTTTGTAAAACTTTGGAGGTTTAGTCTCCGGTGACTGTTTTGAAAGAAACTTAACAACCATTTTGCAAGCTATTCTCCATATTTTTGATTATGATATTTAGAAAGACTATTAAAAGCTCTTTTTTCAAAATAATGAAACTTTTACTTGTGGGGGAAATTGTTATTATGATTAATTAGAAACAGGACATTGTGTCGTCCAATTCAGTCTGTAATCATACTCGTGATTAACAAATCGGACTCCCGCCTCGCGGTCATCCGATTTTGTTAATCACTCGTGTGATTACAGACCGAATTGGACTCCACTCAGTCCTATTACCGTTATTAATTGTTTCTGTGACTGTCTTATAGGGAGGGTAGTAGTGTTAGTACGGGTCTGTAAGGGGTTGCTGGAAACTCAGTCATCAGTTATTTCAACGTCCATTTCTAGCAAATAGCCAATCACTGCAGCGTAAAATCACTATAGTGAACCAATCAGAATCGAGAAAATGCGCGGGAAAGTAGCGAACACCAATTCACACGTTTCATTTTCGCGGTTAGCTGTGTTACCCGTGTTGTGTGAATAAGTTTTATACTTGTAGGGCTGGACAAACATTGAACATAAATTCTGAATGTTCCCAGTTGAAGGGTAATTGAGGGTAGAGACAACTGCTATTTTTTTTACCTGGATTCGTCTTTTTCTTCTCATCTGAACAGCTATGGACACTATGCTGAAGGCACTGGCTCGGTGCTGAAGATGGCGGATATTGATGTAAGATGCCCTTTAGGTCGATCGTTCTCGAAACCCTATAGTTTTTATTTGTTATTTGATGTTCCCAGTCTTAGTGATATCATTTGCTGTAGAATACTTCCCATTGAATCTCTTTTTTTTCGATTTCTGTATGTGTTTGTTTACCTATTGTTTTGTTCGTTTTTCCTTTGTTTTGTTGTTCGTTTGGCTTTTTTTTTTTGTTCAATTCCCTCTAAGACAGTTTAGGGCAAGTAATTAGAGGGTCTATATGGGGTTGGGAAACTCACTTAACAGTTTAACTTTCGACGATATCTGAGCTACTGGGGTAAAATTTCAGCTTACTTATCAGCTATCGGGAAATTTTACCTATCACCTATTAGTTAAAAAAACTCGCCATTTCTAAGCTAACGGTTAGCATAACTGTCATCCAGACCATGTGAGGAACATGTCAGAATGTAGGCAATATTACTTGCCAAGTAATTTCCCCTTTTTGAGTATCTAATCTTGATTATAACCTGAAAAATGGCTGCCTTTTTCGGGTCAAAATGATCCAGTCTCCAAAACGCGAGTCATTTTCACGAGTTTTTGTAAGCCCATCTCCCTTTCTCGTTTCTTTTGATTACAGTACATGAAGTTCATTTTTTACGCCGTCTTCTTCACAGGACACAGAGATCTTCGAGAGATACAGAGATCTCACGGATGACCAAAGCAAATTGGAGCTGTTGTCTGTGTTGAAGTTAAGATACTTTACTCCGCGCGAGGTGGCCAATCTGCATGGTTTTCCGTCTGACTTTTGTAAGTTTTTTTTTTTCTTAACGATGCATGTGAGTGTTTATCAAAGTTTTTTCTCGCAATGCAACTTTTCATTTGCTGCGTCGACAAGAGATAAAAATCTGATTTCTATTCAACAAATAGATTCCATGTTGCCGTGCGTCTGTTCAGAAAATGATCACAGATGACGTCAAAATGCCACGAGGGGATAACTGAGGGGTTCACTGATGTTCTTAACATATTTTGACGTCTTCTGTGATTTTTTTTTTTAATTTGTAACTTCTGTGATCTCTCACTTAACAAACGCATGGCAACACAGAATCTATCTGTTATATTTCATACGGAATCAAAACAAATGGTCATTACGTCATCCATACGTGTGTTTCCAATTGATCATAATCAAGAACCAATCAAAATGCGAGAATAATTTGACTTTCTGATTTCTTAAATAACAGCTTCGTTTAATTTTTAGGCTCACGAGTGGCTAAGGTTGAGCCACAGATTCTTAATTACGCTTGTTTCAATGGCCGAAACTTCTGGCGTAAGAAGTGCGTTTACTCCTCTGTGCTAGTCTCATTTCTTTTTATTGTTATTCTATCTTTCCAGGCTTTCCCACTTCCGTGTCCGTCAAACAACAGTATCGCCTTCTGGGAAACAGCCTGAATGTTCACGTTGTGTCTGAGTTACTGAACTGTCTCTTCCAGTCTCCCACGTGACACAAAAGACATACTATTTTGAAGTTGGCATTTATGGGCATTCCGTGGCCAAATCCTTCGGCAAATTTGCAGCTACTGTCGCCACAAGTCAACCTTTGCTTATAAAGTCCTTCGTTTATTTAGCTCCCTCGAGCGAATCAGCAACGAAGTCGCAAGCGTGAAGCGGCGAAACCAATAGCCAGGGAAGAATTATTGGAAAGGACTTTTAGAAATTCAAATTTGCAGCCCGCGATTTTAGTTTATCTGTTTCTTTCACGAGCGTTTCCTGACTCCGCTTTTTACACTTGGAATCTTGTCGTCGAAAATAGAACACTGGCGCTGCCATGTCAAGCGATCGACGTAACTTCCTCCTAAAAACAACCAATCGCTAGGAGGGGGTTGGGGTGGACAACTCCTTGGTTCATGCTTACAGCACTGCCATGATTGCTGTAAGCTGAACTGAATATAAACAGAACTTGAATTCTTTTCTGGGGTTCCTCAGTGGGAGAATCCACGATGCTATCAAGGCACAACCGTACAAGACTTAGTTGTAATAATGTTAATTTTTGAAAAGTTACACGGCTGATGAGAAAAGAAAAGCAAGCAAAAAAGAGAATAACGTTTCGGTTGTCAGTCTTGCACGATGTTATGCGAGATGTAACGTGCAACGGAAAAATTAATTTATGCTGTTGTTGAAACTATAAAATACAATACATCAGAACTAAAGTAATCGCTCTTACAGTGGGGTATTAGGTAATCACGTGGGCTATTCGATTTATCTCCTTCCTAGGTCTTCAGAGATCTGGGAACGAGAATATTGAACGCGCTGGATAAATTTGTTCAAATTTAATTTTAAACGGGGTCATCCGGAGGTCTCGCAAGGTCTCACATGAATAGCTTGATACCTGTAAGGGAACAATATAAAACAATTGCAAACAACAAAAAAAATGCCCCTAGCCCCAAACCAATAACAGCTTCTGCACACAATAGCAGCACAGGGAAGCTGCTACACTATTTCAAATCTCCCAGTTCATTCTAAAGTACATTGCCCGTGCGTACCAAGATTGGTAGAATCCCGGGAGGAAAGGGGCACTCTCATATAAAAAAAGACGGGGGTGGGGGAGGGGGGGCTCGTCGGAAGGGGTACCAAGATCCTGTTTTGTGGCCTTGATTTTTTTTTATTTACCCCTAAGAGGTACCAATCCTAAAGCAAGACGTTATCTTCTGTCAGATTTTTTTCGGCTCAATAATGACCTTAAGATCGAGGTTTTTCAGCATTTCCCGCAAACCGTGAACGTCAAGAAGTCACGTGACCAGTGCGTTGGCGTCAGGTTTGCAGTTTGAGGTTCACTTTTGTACGGCTAGACCACGTTCTAGAGATAGGTGATTTACCGCAAGGTTTTTTGCAGCCTAAAACAACAATCCCACGTTTGAGGGAAAATACTGCTTTTAAAAACTATATCGCTTATTAACTATTGAA